CGAGGGGAGGGGCGGGGGGCGGGGGTAAACTGAGGCCTAGGTGACTGGGCAGTGGATAGACATAGCAAAGAGGTGCCCCGCAGAAGGTGCCCCGCATTCTCAGACTGGGGACTGGGGCTGCTAGGGGCATACGAATGAGACGATCTGTTGGCCCAGGCTCCCTAATCAACTCTCTGCACACCTTCATTGGCACCCCTGAGATCTGGTGTTCTTCCCCTCTCACATGCATTATGGGAGGGGATTTTGAGGGCCAAATGATTGGGTCCTGGGGTTTGGGGTCAAGCAGGGACCTCCTGAGGGTTGAGACATTAGGGGGAATGTTGGCTGAGGAATGGAGTCCTACACTCCCAGGATGCCAGAACTCTAAGGGTGGCTGTACTGGAATTTGGGGGAACAGTGCTTACAGCCTTCCACCTGAGCCAGGGAGCTTTGGACTTATTAGACAGGAGGGTCTCTCTGTCTCTCTCCTTTGGAGGAAGTCTCTTATGGGGAAGGTACGGTCTGGGTTTGGTGGTCCAGAGGAGTAAATAGCCCTCGGATATGAGATGCAAAGGCAGAGATTTCTTGGAGTGGGGGTTTCTGAATGGAAGAGAGGTCTCATGAGATCCTGGGGTAGTTCTTTGGGTATGAGGGGATGAAGCCAGGGTTTTTGGGAGAGGCTCCTGAGCTTCTGAAGGCAGGGACAGGGTTCATGTGGGAATCCCCAGGAAGGATGGGGGTCTCAGTCTCCTACCCTGTGCAATTGGAGTGCTGCTGGTCTGGCATAAAGAGAGCAGACCAGGACAAGGCCTAGGAAGAGATGCCCAGATTAGGGACTCTGTTCTAGTGAAGGGAATACTACGGATTCTGGAGGGAGTTGTTTGAGGTCTAGAGGGATTTGAGACTGGTATGAACCGTCCGCAGTTGGGGAGGGGGTGTCCGAGGCTGACCTGGGGAAGGAAATTCCCTGAAATGGGAGTATATAGGGAGGTGGCCTTAGCTGCCCCACCTCTACATCAGTAATGTCGCCCTCCTCCGCGCTCCAGGCGCTGTCCCAGCCTGCCCAGCGTTGCCTTGGTGGGACAGGCCCAAGCGTGCGGTCGCGGGCCCTGGAGTGGAGGGGCAGGTATTGACTTCTCCCTCCCTGCTCCTGCGCCCTGGCCGCTCCGCGTCTGTCCCCGCCCACTTCAGCTTCCCGAGGCAGAAGACCCAGACCGGGGCCAGCCCTGCAACTCCTGCAGGGAGCAGTGTCCTGGCTTCCTACTGCACGGCTGGAGGTAAGCTACCGTACCACCCCCGCGCCTCGCCAACGTTAAAGCCCCGCCCTCAGGAGAACCCCGGAGGCTCAGGCCACGCCTTAGGGTTGAGCTCCGCCCATAGCAGGAGCTCGATTGGGAAAAGAGCCTAACCTCAGATTCAGAGCCCCGCCTCCGGACTCATTCCCAGGAGTCTCATTCCCAGGAGAGCTCCACCTACTACACAAGCCCGCCCCCAGAAGAGTCCTTTCCAAGACTCTGAGTTTCATCTCTAGGGCATCCTCTTTCAGGACTCTGAGCATCACCCAGTGACCTCCAGCCCCCTCTTAGTCTCAGACCTAGTGTTCTATACTACTGGATCCCTGCACTCAAAGTTTTGCAAAATACCAGACAGTTCACAGCCCCCAGACTCAGACTCAGACTGCCCATAGACACAGAGCCCACAAACCCACAAGGTCAGCACCTCATCACAGACTAGAGCCTTGCCTGGAGAGAAAGTTCCCCAACAAAGTCCAGAGCCTTTCCTGAGGGGAAATCCCTAGCTTTATAAATCCAGTCTCTGTCTGCACGTGCCAACCCTACTCAGCCCTACTGCTGAGAGAATCTGACCCAAGTCCCAGAGCTGAAAGTTTAGGGGCTATCCTTGAGATCCCAAAGCCTAACCCTCCACATCCCTTGCTCTGGTTCACAGCCCCAACCCAGTTCACAGCCCTGCCCTCAGCTGGAAGCTAAGCTTTTTGTGGCCAGTCCCCTATTCCCCACAATCTGTCCACAGGCTCAAATGTAGATGCTGGCTTACAACCCTACCTCCCGTCAGCCCCCCTCAGGCCTAGAGCCCTATCCAGCTCAGAGCCCTTTGGTGGTGATAATTTGCATGTTCCCACCCCTCAGTTTGGGTGCTTAGGTTGTTAATGGGTCCAGGTAGGCATCCTCTTAGGAATTGAACCCCATCCCGGTCCTCACAGAAAGATATGCCAGCACTGCAAATGCCCACGGGAGGAACACGCAGTACACACCGTGCCTGTGGACCTGGAACGCATCATGTGTCGGCTAATCTCAGACTTCCAGCGACTCTCCATCTCCGACGACGACTCAGGCTGTGCATCAGAGGAATATGCCTGGGTGCCCCCTGGCCTTAAGCCAGAGCAGGTAACCGGAGGCTGGCCATCCACTCTTGCTCTCCAGTGGGTGGACTCACATGTGGGGAACCTATTTCTGAGACAATACTAGAATCTGTGTTCAGACTGAGTGTCTCTGTGATCAAAGGGTGGTCAGCCCTCCACATGTCACAGGGAACCCTGAGTTCCTCAGGGCCTGTTCACCCTACTCCTGTTCTCTTATGTCAGTCTTTATTCTAGCATTTCATTTAACAGTTATTGAGCACCTACTGCATGTCGAACACTGCTCTAGGCACTGAAGGCATAGCTGTGAACAGAATACACAATAATTTATCTGCCAACATGGAGATTAGATTCCTTAAAAGAGCAACAGCAGGGGTAGGGGGGGGACCAGCAGTTAGCATAATGGCTATGTCGCTAGATTCCCACGTAGTCGACCGCGGTTCGCGTCCTGGACCCGGTGGCTTAGAACTCATGCCGGGCGCGTGTGCATGCGTGCCCAAGATCCGAGAGGAGAATGGAGGAGAAGGGATTGTGGTGTGACCATCCCCCCTGGGGGGTGATTTCTCGCTTTCTGTCTCTATGTCTCTCTCTGTCTGTCTGGCAAGCACACGCACCCTATAGTGAAAACCTCTCAAAAAAAAAAAGAGCAACAGCCGGGGACCAGCAGGTGACATGGTGGTTAGGGCACTGGACACTCACACATGGTCGACCATGGCTCAAGTCCCGCACTTGGTGGCTTACTTTCTCGCTTTCCCTCTCTCTCTCTCTCTCTCTCTCTGTGTGTGTGTGTGTGTGTGTCTCTCTCTTTGGTCAACTTAAAGAAAAAAAAATGAATAAATACAAATAATTATTTTTTAAAAAATAAAAATAAAAAAATTTTCAAAAAGAACAACAGCCAATAAGCAAACCTGAAATCTACAAGGGGACTTCAAGAAGTTCTTGGGATAGTGGCATTGAAGGGCAAGTTAATTTTGGTGCAAAAAATTCTGAAATAGCCTTTTCATAACATGCATTTCGCAGGAATTTTTGAGGACCCCTTATATGTCAGATAGATTAAGGGCTATGGAATAAAAAAGCAGGGAGGTGGAGGTGGGGAGAGAAGGAAAGGTGCTAGAATTGCAAATAGGGTGCCCAAGTAAGTCTCAGAATTTAATACTTGTGCTGCATTAAAGGAGGTGAAGAAGTGAGCTGTGCAGATACCTGAGGTTAGAGTGGTCCATGCCAAGGGTTTGAGGTAGTAGTGTGCTTGGCTTGTGCAAGGAATATCGAGGAGGCCAGTGCAGTTGGAACAGAATGAATGGGAGAGCAGTTGGAGGTAAGGTCAGAAAGGTGGCACAGGCTATGGAGAAGACTTTGACTCCAAAGAAAAAGAAGCCACAAAAAGATCAAAGCTACAAGTGAGGGGATATGATTTGTCTTGGGATTTCACAGGATCCTTCTGGCTGCTGAATGTAGAACAGCCTGTGGAAATGAGGGTAGAAGCAGGGGATGAGTGAGGAGGAAACTACTGCAATAGTCCAGGTGGTTGATGATGGTGCTGGCAATGGGTATAGTGAGAAGTGGCCAGATTCTGGATCTATTTTAGAAGTAGAGCTGAAGGCTGGCTCCATAGCAGTAGTGCACTGATCAAGAGAAGCCAGATCCCACATGGCATCCATGGTTCAAATCCCCAGTCTGGGCAGCCTGAAACATGCTAGGAACCCAGGGTCTGATGGGCTGGAGGGTTGGAGAACTGGAATCATGACATGACCAGACCCTAGGAGGTGTGTCTCTCTCTTTCACACACACACACAC